TGCGCTTTTCCCGACCTCCGTGTCTTCTTGCTCCAGCAGCTTCGGGAAGAGAGCGCAGTACGGTGGGGGCTTTCGATAAGGATACCTTCGACAAGGAAGCCAGGGTCTGGAAGCCAGCGGAACTGCAACCGTGGCTTGGCCATGGAAGTCACCGCCGCCCTCATCAGATAAGGAATCCTCCAGGTTCTGAAGCCCCCCAGGCACATTCCTTAACGAACGCCCCCACCGTATTCGGCCTGACCTAAGGAAAGATACATAAGGAAGGAAGACCCTGTTTTTCAAAGCAAACCAAAGGAACGACCAAGCCCCTTTTGAAAAGTTTAAGTGTTCCTTAGTTAAGCTGGACCTTGTAGAAGAAGAACAAACCACATGAACATAAACTTTCGGCGCTCTGCGCGGATTTCTTGGATTTGCGCTGGACCCCCCTCCCTGGCGCGCGGAGCGCGCCAGGGGCGGCGCTGGAGGCGCCGCCGGGGGGCCCAGACGCGATCCAAGAAATCCGCGCTGAGCGCCAAAAATTTACGGTAATGTGGCTGTCTCTTCTTCTTCTTATTATTATTCTTCTTCTTCGAGAGAGGACAGCTGCGGGGAACGAGGCGCAACGGACGTCTGCAATGCCGGGTGCAAAAACCAGCAGTGGCCCCAGACCCGGGAGGCGGGCGGAGGGGGGGGCAGAGGTGGAAGGCGACGACGAGGAGGGAGGGAGGGCACCGTGGTTGCCAAGAGCGGCATACCCGCAGATCGGCTGCTTACGTCTGTGGCTCATGCCAGGAATATGTATATATATATATACATAAAAATGTAAATGTATATGTATATGTAAATGTAAATATACATATGTATACATATATATATATATAAGTATGTATATACATATATATATATATGTATGTATACATATGTGTATACATACATATATTTACATATATATATATATATATATATGTATAGAACTGTCCCGCATAAGTCCTCGGTGGCAACTCATGGGAGCCTCCCCTACCCATCTTGTCGGCTCTTGCGAATCGACGCTGATCGACGCTAGTCGACGCTAATCGACGCTGAATCGGCACTAATTCGACGCTAATCGACGCTAGTGGAGGCTACATCGGCGCTATCTCATCGACTCCTTGACGCAAATCGACGCTAAAGACGGGATTAAGGAGGTATACCAGGCTCCCATGACCTGCTGCCGAATAGATCTATGGAGCCGCCGGGAAACCGGAGCGCCTCGTGGGTCCAGAATGGTCCCTGCACCACCGTGTTGCCCGTTCCTCCGCTCGGGGCCGGGGCCGCGCCGAATTTTTGTTTAACACCTCGCGCGCGAGGCACAGGGCGAGACCCGCCTGGAAGACCCACAAGATCCGCGAGGCCCCCGCACAGGCTACCCGATGGGATCCAGGTGGTTGTTTTTCGAGGGCGGCGATCCTGGGCAAGGCAGGGCCAGGCAAGGCGCCGATGTTCGCCCCGGGCGGGGGCGGGGCCTGTAAGAGCTCGGCGGGGGCGCGGAGAACTCCTGTGGAGGGAGACAGACTGGCCACGCGCAGAAGGGGGTAGGGGGAGGGGGGAAGGTTTCTTAGAAGCACCCCTGCTTCTTAGAAGGCGCGGGCCTTCTTTGTAGATGTAAGGCCGGCGCCTTCTAAGCAGCAGCCTCCTTCTAAGAAGTCTTCCCCCCTCCCCCTACCCCCTTGTGCGCGCCGCCAAACAGAAGGGGCGGGCCTTCTCAGAAGGCTCAGATGGCCTCGGGCCTTCTCGGAGGAGTGGCCAAGTATGCCCCGAAGGCGCAGCACACCGCTCAGAAGGCCTCGAGGGCCTCTCTGAGGGGCCCCGCCGACCTCTAGGAAGACCTCCTCCATCTCGCCTCCGCCCCCCCGCTCGCCGCCGACTGTGGTTTTTGGGTCATACCTCAGCTCTCCGGCGGCCGTTCGGGACGATCCATGGACCCCTGGGACGCCCTCGGCGAGGCGCAGCCGCTGGAACGCATCCCGAAGCTGGAAGACCACCGAGAACCGACGAGCACGTCCGAAAAACCTCGAACCTCGGACCCGAAACTTCTCCCCCTCGCTCGCCGCCCAGCAATGGTGAGCGTTTTTTTACTATTAGTATTACTATTATTACTATTTTTATTATTTGTATTAATATTATTAGTATTATTATTATTAGCCGTATTAGTACTATTATTACTATTATTATTATTATTCGAATAAAAAACTCGACGTGTCGACAATGGGCGGCAAGGGAGGGGGGGGAGGGGGGGGTCTGGCTCCAGGCCTCTGCTTCGTGCGACTGTTTGCAAGAACGCGGCCTCTGGGGGAGGCCCCACCCTCTTGAAACAGGCGCCCAAAACAGCCAAGATCTACTCCATGGTGGCGGGCGGAGGGGTGGGTGCGAGGGCCCGCGCCGATCGGCAGAACAATGAAGAAGAAAACGATAACATGGGATCCGGTTGGGCCCATCGTTGATTTTTTGTGTCTAGCCAAAGAGCAGAAACGTTCGGCCGGGGTGTGTGGAGCCCGCGCCGCCCGCGACAGCACCAGGGCAGGAGCGGGCCGCCCTCCTCCTTCCCCTCCTCCTCCTCCTCCTCCTTCTCCTCCTCGCCCTCCCCGATCCTCCTCGTCCTCCCCTCCTCGCCCCCCCCTCCTCGATCCTATCCTCGATCTCCCTCCTCGCTCCTCCACGCCTCTCGATCCTCCGCGGGTGTCGCCGTCGAGGATCTCCCCGTCCGTCGCTCCTCCTCCTCCTCCTCCTCCTCCTCCTCCTCCTCCTCCTCCTCCTCCCCCTCCTCCTCCTCCTCCTCCTCCCCCTCCTCCTCCTCCTCCTTGCTGCTCCTCCTCCTCCTGCTGCTGCAGCTGCTTCTTCTCCTCCTGCTCCATTCTCAGTATTCGAGGCCGACTTGCAGACGACATGCAGCAGGTTTGGGAGGTGCGCGGACGGAGCATGCCGCAGTTCGACATGTTCTGCGGGTGACGCAGTGCCACCTGCATGCCCCGTAGGATCGCTGTCTTAACGGTCTGCGTATGGTTGCGATTGTTTCCGGTATCGTGTTTTGCTGCCCGCCTTTGTGCTCCCTTCGTTGAGCGCCAGGATGGAATACTACAATTTCCAAGGAGCGATCCCCCCTGGAAGCACTCATCCTCTGAAAATCACACGCCCCCCGACCCCCTCGAACCCACAAAATCCCACCAGCCCTTTAGGGCGTGAGGGGTTTGGGGAGTTTCCTCTTCCGTCTTCCCTCTTCCCCTTCGGGGAGGGGTTTACCCCTCCCCCTGTCTCCTCCCCCTGGGTCTGGAAGGAGGAGGGGGGGGGGGCACGAGGTGTCGGAGGGTCGATGTTGGCCTCGGCGAGGAAGCCACCATCACTGATGTTACTAAAGTGTTGGCCACGTGTTGGCCTCCTGAGGAGGGAACCTAGTTTAGTACGGCCGGTCATTCCACCGATCTCCTCCAAGATGGCCGCAAGATGACCCCCGAGGCTCCCTAGAGTGCCCCAAGACGGCCTCAAGCGGTGCCCAGGGGGCCCGACGAGTAAGTCGGGCGTGTCCCCCTACAGGGGGGATCTTCGACGACAAATAAGACATACTCCAAACATACTCCAAAATGGCCACAACAATTTCAAAAAATAGGCCCCAGACTGTTTATTTTTTACTATTTTTGAGCATTCCCCCCGAAGAGTGACAGGCCCGACTTGACCCTGCGAGGCCGACCTCCGGAGGGCCCACAGTGGGCCCCCGAGGGGCCTCGAGAGGGAACCTCCAGGACGAAGGAACGGGTGGAGAATGGGACTGCGGACAAGGAGGGCGCGTGGGAAACCCGCGCTGGGCTCAGGCAGAGCACTCAGCTAGAACGGGCCTCAAACTCAACCTCCCCCATGCTGCGCAGTTGAGCTGACGCGGTGTTGACATTTGCCGCAGGCAGCTGGAATACTTCTAATTACGACTCTGGTTAGTCACTGCAGGTGCGCTCCCAAACAATAGTCTATGTGGTGACACGTTAAATGGTGCATACCTCGCGCGCTGCAAGCACAGTAATGTAACGTATGTGTGGTGCAAGCTGGGCGGTGAAAGCACTGTGATCGAAGCAATGCGGTGCCAGCTACCTGTGGTGCAGACCCTGTGGTTCGAGCGATGTGGTGCACGATGCGTGGCACGGCCCTGCCGTGCAAGCTGTGCGGGTTTAAACTCGACGCTCGACGCTCGCTTGGCCGCGCTCGCTGCTGCCGCCAGCGCCAGCACCCCCGCGCCCGCACTCCCCGCGCCTCACCCGCCCGCGGTATCCCCTCTCCGCTCCCTCCCCCCCGCCGCCTCCTGCCTCCCTGCCACTGGGCTCCGCTGGATGGTAAAAAAAAAAAGTGCGGGTTTAAACTCTGAGCTGCAGGCAGCCTGGTGCGGGAAGCAGCGCAAGGCCCCTACGAGGCGCCCCCGGCCTCCCGCGGCGCGAGACCTCGGCAAGCTCCCCCGGCGAACGGCGCGGCCGCGAGGCGCCCACGGCCGCCCGCCGGGCGACACCTCGGCACCGCTGGCCGCTGGCCAGCACGGGGCGGGGCCACGACGTGCCCACGGCAGGCCCACCAACGAAAAGCACACCTCGGCGACGCCGCCCGGCGCACGGGGCGCTCACGGGGCGCCCACACGGGCGCTCGCCGAGCGGAGCTCCGCCTGGCCCCTGGCCGGTCCCTGCTCGGTGGCGACTCATGGGAGCCTCCCGTACCATCTTGTCGGCGCTTGCGAATCGACGTTCGTCGACGCTAAATCGACACTATCATCCACGCTAAATCGACGCTAGATCGACACTACATCGGCGCGACCTCGTGGCCCCCCCAAGCGCTCATCGACGCCAGTCGACGCCGAAGACGGAGTTCAGAAGGCATGCCAGGCTCCCAGGATTGCTGCCGCATCCCTGGAACTCCTCCAGGAGATCCTGAATCGGGCCCTCCAACTGACCCCGACGGCGGCGGCGGCGGCGGCAGTGGCGCCCGCCAGCCGAGGCGAGCACCCCGCGACCAGCGCGGCGCGCACGATGCGCCAGTCGCCGCCGTTGGCCTCCGCCTCCCCTCGGCCGCCCGAGGCCGCGCCGTCGTCGTGGACGACGCCGTCGTCATCGTCGTCGTCGTCGTCGTCGTCGTCGTTGTCTGCGACGGTTCTCGGAGCTTCCCAGACGCCCACGTTGGCCTCCGCACCCTCGCCGCCGAGGGCCACGGCGTCGTCGTCGCCGCGGTCGTCGAGGACCGAGGCTCGGAGGCTCGGCAGCGTCATCGCCCAGTGCCTCGAGGGACAGAGGTTCCAGGTTCGATGGCGTTTAGGGGAGGAGGAGGGGGAGGAGGAGGAGGAGGAGGAGGAGGAGGAGGAGGAGGAGGAGGAGGAGGAGGAGGGACGAGGAGGAGGAGGAGGAGGTGTTTTCTCCCGTCGTGACTGTTTTTTCTGTGCCTGCGGCAGGCTTCCCGTGGCCACGGCTGATGCCGCCTTGCACTTTCCTGGTCAAAGCGGCTTCCCTTCAGATGACCAGGGGTGCGAGATCTGTGGTGGTAGTAGTCATCGTCTTCAACGGTGGTGGTGGCGGTTGTCGTCATCGTCGCTGTCAAAATCGCCCATGACGCCGTCGATGTTCGAAAAGCTTTTGGCAAAATCGACATTCTGTGGTCTCGTCTTGGGGCCCTGGACCGTCAGATGTCGACATAGGATCAAAAAAAACACCGCCACGATGGATCCCAAGAAATGCCCAGGGACAGAGTCTCAGCGGAATTCGAAGGGACCAGTGTTCGGTTCCAGAAGCCTGGACTCCAAAAGTGTTGCAATGTCTGGGAAGGCCACGTGTTGCTTCCGCTGGATTCTGGCGGCCTTGCGGAGGCGGCCTAGCAGTTCATCCGCGGCTGTCCGCCGAGGACGAGTTGCCGACTCCTTCGGTCCTTTTCAAGGCAAGGCCCCATAGACAGGATGCTTCTCTCAGGGGAGCTGGCAAGAAGAATTCTGATGCGTCCGCCAGGCTGGTGCACGACAGCGCGGGAGTTGCAAAGGGGTCGGCTCGAGACGGCCCAGAACATGCAGGCCGATGCGAGGGTCCAGGATAAAAATGATGAGGATGTTGCTGCTGATGATGATGGCGATGGCGATGACGATGATGATGACGATGAGGATGATGATGATGATGATGATGATGATGATGATGATGATGATGATGATGATGATGATGATGATGATGATGATGATGATGATGATGATGATGATGATGATGATGATGGGGTTGATGATGTTGAGGAGGAGGGGGGTGATGGCTATGATGATGCTGATGGCGATGACGGTGGTGTTGGCGATACTGATGAGTGTGGTGATGGTGATGCGGACGGGGGCGATAATTCGACTGGTGCTGATGAGGATGATGATGATGGTGATGATGATGATGATGATGATGGTGTTGACGTTGCTGCTGATGATGATCATGCTGATGCTCACAATGCGGATGCCATCCGACCGAACGATCCACCGACCGAGGAGGAGAAGGAGGTGGAGGAGGAGGAGGAGGGCGGCAATCGAGGGTTTCTTGCGCCAGCGAACAGGACGTCTCAGGAGGAGGATGCGGAGGAGAAGGAGGAGGAGGCTGCGGAGGAGGAGGAGGAGGATCAGCAGCAGGAGGAGGCTGGCAATCAAGGATTCCTTACGCCACCCGTTATCAGAATTCAGAACGAGGAGGAGTATGAGCAGGAGCAAGAGGAGAAGGAGGAGGAGGAGGAGGAGGGGGAGGAGGAGCAGGAGCAGGAGCAGGAGGAGGAGGAGAAGGAGCAGGAGCAGGAGGAAGATGAGGAGACAGGGCAGTACAGGACATCCGCATAAAGGAGGTTCAGCGTCAGAACACCTACGCTGGTGCCTTGCGCGCTTCTGACAAAATCCCTTGCGATTGGTTGTGCAACGGCCCTGCCTTCTCACTAGGGCCGACAGGGGGAATACCACGTTGCTCAAGGAGTGAGCTCCGAGGTGGCCCCGTAAGAGAGGCTTGCTACCTTACGGTTCCGAGTCCCTGCGGGTAAGTGCGGGGGGAGCAGCTGCTGGCCCTTCCGCGTGCCCTGGGGGAGGGGACGCGCGGGCTTAGCAGTGCGCCCAAGCAAGGGGAGGAGACGACGACACGACACCTCCAAAAGGAGGAGAAGGGGGAGGGTCGGGAGGCCAGTGTTCCCGAACTGTTGCTGGGGGGGCGGTTACCCTACTTGTTTCCACTATATTGTCTCCTCTCCCGCCCAGCTCCCATCTCTGTCACCTCGATATGGCCGACAGTTGCCCCATGCATTGTCGCATCTGTACCCTGCCAAAGAGGATGATGAGGAGGAGGAGGAGGAGGAGGAGGAAGAGGAGGAGGAGGAGGAGGAGGAGGACAATGAGGAGGAGGAGGAGGAGGAGGAGGGGGGAGGAGGAGGGGAGGATGAGGAGGAGGAGGAGGAGGAGGAGGAGGAGGAGGAGGAGGAGGAAGAGGAGGAGGAGGAGCAGAGGAGGAAGGAGGAGGAGGAGAGGAGGAGGAGGGAGGAGGAGGAGGAGGAGGAGGAGGGAGGAGGAGGAGGAGGAGGAGGAGAGGGGAGGAGGAGGGAGGAGGAGGAGGAGGAGGGAGCAGGAGGAGGAGGGGGAGGAGGAGGAGGAGGAGGAGGAGGAGGAGGAGGAGGAGGAGGAGGAGGAGGAGGAGGAGGAAGAGGAGGAGGAGGAGGAGGAGGAAGAGGAGGAGGAGGAAGAGGAGGAGGAGGAGGTGGAGGAGGAGGAGGAGGAGCAGCAGCAGCAGATGGGCCTTGCCGAAACGGCCCGAGTGGGCGACGCAAGCCAAGGGGCCGCCTCGGAGCACGAGGGCACCTCGGCCCTGCGCGGTGGCACCTCGCAGGCCGCGCGGCGGGGCGCGCCGCGCGGGCCGCGAGAGGGGGCTGCCGAGCGGCCTCGCGCGGGCAGCTCGAGCGCGAACGCGCGCGCGGCGGGCCCTGCCGCTGCCTGGCGCAGGATCCACGACGACGACGACACTGACGCCGACAACGCCGACGACGACGACGCACACGCCCACGACCACGACGCCGACGACGCCGACGACCACGACGACGACGCCGCCGACGACGACGCCGACGACGCCGCCGACGGCGACGCTCCTGGGGAGTGCCGCCGCAGCCTCCGGGGCGACGGGATCCAACCGCACCGCTGATGCATCCGCGACGCCAGGATTGCGCAACGTCTAATGGCTGAGGGAGGGAGGACATCCCGCACGCCTTCCTGGGGCGCGGACTTCCCGCACGGGCGCTCCTCCTCACGCGCTTCCCGCACGCCCTTGCCTTCGTCATGGGCGCGGGCTTCCCGAACGCCACTCTTCTTCCTCCTGCTCCTCCTCCTGTTCCTCCTCCTCCTCCTCCTCCTCCTCCTCCTCCTCCTCTCCTACTCCTCCTCCTCCTCCTAAGCGGGGGGGGGCGAGAAATAGGGGGGGAGGGAGAACGGTGCCCCTCTCGGGCCCCAAGGGCCCCCTTTCTGGGCCCTGGAGGGCCCCTTTATGGGGGCCCTCAGGGGCCCCCTTCGGGGCCCCTTTTCTGCAGCCCTCGCTGCCCCCACAGTGCATCGCTCCCCCCCCCCCTCGTGACGCGCCCCCCAACAGGATGGAGAATGCCAGGTCCCGCCTCGCACCGCGCCGCCGATGCCTCGGCGATGCGGCGCAGGGCTCCCCGACTCCGCGTGCGGGGGGCCCCTTTCTGGGCGCCCTGGACGAGGCCCGCGCCGCCGCCTGGGCTCGACGCTGGAGGCATGAAGACAACGCCTCCCCGAGGCGGGAAGTGTTTGGCAAATGTCGGCCTCGGGGGGCCCTCGAAAGGCCTCGGGACCGCGGAACAACGATTCAGGATGAAAAGCCTGTCCCGGGGAAAGGGTCGGGACTTCCAAGGACCCCGCAAAAACATCGGACCCGCGTCGGGGATATATGATGGGGCACGGAGTCCATCCTCTCGAAAGGCATGCGTGCGAGTGGCACACAGGGGGTGCATCCACGGCATGATCCTGGACATGCGACACCGTATGTTGTTGTGCACAACGTGGCTCCCCCAGGGTCTGGACGCATTCCCCAGGACGGGTTCTCCAGTACATAGTGGTTGTTTGACGACTCAGGGGCCCTGTCAGGGCCCGCAGAGCCCAAACCATTAGAAAACTCGACCGTCGTGAATATTCTCGTGCGGCGAGGATGGCAGGGATTGGCGGCGAGAAGTACCCTGCGAGAGTGCGCTCTGGGACGAGTCTGTAGAACAATGTTTTTCGGGGTCGTCGTCGGTTCCGCCGTAGTCGTCGTCGTCGTCGTCGTCTTCTTCGTAGTGATTGTCCTCGTCCTCGTCTTCGCCCTCGTCCTCGTCCTGCTTATCATCCTCATCCTCATCGTCGACCTCATTAACCTAATCATCATCATCAGCATCACCATCAGCATCACCATGATCATCATCGTCGTCGTTACCATCATCATCATCATCAGCAGCAGCAGCATCATCATCAGCATCATCATCATCGTCCTCATAACCATCATCATCACCAGCATCATCATGGTCATCACAATCACAACCATCATCCTCCTTATCCTCCTCCTCATCTCATACTCATCCCCATCCTCATCCTCATCCTCATCCTCATCCTCATCCGCATCCTCATCATCCACCTCCTCCTGCGCCTCATCCTCGTGATCATCATTATTCGCCTCATCCTCAGCATGACCAAAAGCATCATCAGCATCAGCACCATCGTCGGCAGCAACATCATCACATCAACATCTTCATCATCATCATCATCAGCATCAGCATCATCATCATCATCGTCATCATCATCATTAATTTCATCGTCTACGTATTCACCAACCAACATCATTATCGGCATTGACATATCATCCTCATCGTCATCAAAATCGTCGACGTCGTCGTGCTGTGCCTGGTTTCCTCCTCGCCCTCATCCTCATCCTCACAATCATAATCACCATCAGCATCATCATCATCATGACCGTCATCATCATCAGCAGCAGCATCATCAGCATCAGCATCAGCATCGTGATTGTCATGATCATCATCATCATCATCATCATCATCATCATCATCATTATCATCATCAGAACCACCCTTATCACCACCAGCAGCAGTAGCACAATCCTCATTACCGTCATCATCATCAGCATCATCATCATCATCATCATCATTTTCAGCATCAATATCGTTGTTCTTATCACCATCATCATCACCATCATCGTCATCATCAGCATCATCGTCATCAGCATCAGCATCATTCTCGTCCTCGAGACCATGATCAACATCAACATCATCATCATCAGCAGCAGCAGCAGCATCTTCAGCATCATCATCATCAGCATCATCATCATCACCATCATCATCTTCATCATCTTCATCATCATCTTCGCACTCGTCATCGGCATCGGCGTCGGCATCGTCATCACCTATCGTCATCGTCCTCGTCGTCGTCGCCGTGCTGCGCCCGGCTCCTTGCCCCCGAAGCCCAAGGAGCGGAGGCCGCCCAAGAGCTGGCTGCGCACGGACTCCACTGGGGGCGGCGCGGAGGGATAATAAAGGGGTAGAAGCGCACAAGGCAAACGTGTTGGTTTCTGTTTGCGGCGCGAAGGGGACTTTTTTGAACCAGGATGCCCATCTGCATGCCAGCCGTTCGTGTTTAAGACGCGTCTCCAGGCACAGTCATGCGGTACAGGTTTAAGTGCTTCACCTGGCTACAATACAAGGTTGGTAGGTCCTCTGGTCTGTACTCGCCGGACTACAAGTGGAGAGCCGCGACGGCGCGAAGGGGAGAGTTAGCGGCGCCCACAAGTGGGTGTCGCGAGGGGGGCAGCCGTCAGAGAAGCTGGTGGACGTCTTGGGAGGGAGAGGCCTCCTCAGAAAAACGAGCCAGGGGCTTCCAGGAAGGGTGTCTGGAAGCTGGGAGAAGCCTCTGATGCGCCTCTCCTGCCTTGTTGGAAGGCCGCCCCCCCTCGGGCCACCCCCTGGCGGGAGCTGCCGAGAGAGAGAGGGAGCGAGACAGAGAGAGAGAGAGAGAGAGAGAGAAAAATACTCGCCGCTAGACGACATTCACCTCAAGAGCTGCTCACACCCTGCCAGCGGCCCAGGGGGAGTAGAGGATTCTGTGTATCACTGTCCCGCCATCGTGGGCGCGCGATGTCCGTGTCCACCGCTGCTGGAGCGGTCGTCGAGGTCCTGGGGGGACACCTCGGAAGCGGTGGATATGGACGGATTCTGACGGTGGAAGGAAAAAAGGGGAGAGAAAGAGAGAGAGAGGCATATTATGGCAGAGGGGGAGCAGAGAGAAAGAGAGAGAGAGAGAGAACGAACAAAAGAAAACGAGAGAAAGAGAGAGAGAGAGAGAGAGAGCGAGCGCGAAGGCAGAGCATTCTCATATTGAACGCGTCACAGGCCAGCCTCTCAGAGGCGAGCTCCGCTGCCCGACGTGGCCCGGGAGACAAGGCGAGCCCAGGGCAAGCAGACGGAGTGCTTGGAAGCGCTAGGCCTGCGAGGGTAAACGAGCGGCACGCGTGCCATGGCTCTTGCACAAGATGGAGGAGGAGGAGGAGGAGGAGGAGGAGGAGGAGGGGGCGGAGGAGGGGGAGGAGGAGGTGGAGGAGGATGGGGGGGGAAAGAGGGGGCGAGACATCAGAGAAGGAGGGAACAAACCGGGCCGTCCTCCACAAGATGGCCAAGATGGCTTCAAAGACACCGACGGAGCCCACAGAGTCCCAAGAGGTCCCCGGGAGCCCCAAAAGGCATTGAAGAGGCTCCCTGGCGGCTTCCAAGGGTCAAAAGAGGGCTAGAAGAAATTATTGAGCAGACCCGGCTGCAAGGAGCTCGCGGCGCAAACTGCCACGTGTTGCGGCCTTGTGCTGGGGACGCTTGTCCAGGGCAGTCGTTTTGCGCTCAAACTCTGTCGGGTATAATCATGCTTGGCGGCCCGCGGACGTGCATCCGCCTTTCAAATACGGGCCTCTCCCATAGACCAGACTTCCGGCCCGAGCCATTTCGCTCATTTGCACCGGAGCGCCCAAAAGCGGCGCCCCCGACGACGACGACGACGACGACGACGACGACGACGACGACGACGACGACGACGACGACGACGGCGGCGGCGGCGACGACGACGGCGGCCATACGGAGACTCCAGAAGCCCTGATCCTTTCCCCAGGGCTAGCTAATCAATTTGGGCGCCCGAGTTATCCGGGGTAACTCGGGCCCGGGGCAACTCGGGTTTGGATTCCCGAAAAACGAACCCGAGTTAGCCCTGACCCGAATTATCCCTGATGATTTGGGGCTCTGGACGCCCGAGTTATCTGGGGTAACTCGGGCCCGGGGCAACTCGGGTTGGGATTCCCGAAGAACGAACCCGAGTTAGCCCTGACCCGAGTTACCCCTGATGATTCGGGTCTCTGATCAATGTTTAACAATCCGCAGGGCCTGGCGAGGGCCCACCAGAGGCCGAAAACTGCGACTCGACTCCGCCATGATGTTAGTCAATGTGTTGGGTGCCTGGGTCTTTCCCCTTGCGAGAGGAGTTGAGCAGGGACAGACCGACCCGGCATTCCGATAGGCCTACCACCACTTGTTCTTAGAACCCCCCCACCAAATTCGAGAGCAAAAACAAGGTTCTTAGAACATGAGCACGATGTGTGCAAACAAGACAGTCCCAGCAGGGAACGTTCTGAGAACAGTCCGTGCAGACCAGGAAAGGCTCCCAGAACATTCTTCGGCGGAGCCGTCGGCAAGCCAGGACGCCTCGCCACTGCTCGAAGCAGGGCGGGCGGGCGGCCGAGGAGCGGAGGCCCTCCCTTTCCTGGCGCGGCGAGCGCGCGGCAGCCCTACGAGCGCAGCCGGCGGCTGCCTGGGACGTTTGCCTCTCCGGGCGGGGCCGGGTGCCCGCCGTGGGCGCGCGGGACGGATGGCCGGCCACCGAGCAGCCACATGCCCAGACCCCCTCGGGCAATGAACAAAATCGACGGGAGGTTTTTCGCTACTTTCGGCCTCGGGGGGGCCCTCGCCGGGCCTCGGGACCGTCGAAACACGCCTCCGGAGGAAGAAAAACGGTCCATGGGGACTGGGTCGAGACCTCCAGGGCTCGCCGCAAGGAAAAAAGCAGGACGTCGGGGGTCTGGGGTCTGGGTGGGGGGCAACGAAACGGCGGGGGGACAGGCTCAGGGGGGGGGGGGGGCGAAGCGTGGAGCTGGGACCCGCGAGGCGTCGCCGCCGCCATGGGAGCCCGATGGCCCCCCCTCCCCGCCCAAGAGCGTGCGGCGCCGCTCTCGGGGGCCTGCCGCCGAGGTGTCCATGGGATGACGATCGAACAGCACGCACCCATACACCCATAGGGGGGAGGGAGGAGGCTGTGGGTGCGTGTTTTGTCCGATGGGGGTCCCCGCTCGAACAGGAGCTCCCCCCAGGGCCCGACAACTCGCACCCATACCCATAGCCAGTTCTCCTCCTTGCGACCCTCCTATGGGTATGGGTGTGAGTTGTTCGTTCGTCATAAGATGTATCTCGCCGTTTCTGGCTCGATGTTCCCCCCTCCCGAGCCCATCCCCGCCTGTCGTTGCCCCTGAAGCTACCCTGAGGTGCGACGTAGCCGGGAATGACAGCATCGTGGCAAAGCACGACCGGAGCCCGGAGCCCCACACCCCCGACTCCATCTTTCCGCGTCGTTCCTCGAGACGGATCGATCAGGGCCCCGGGGCCCGAAATTGGGCGAAAACGTCCAGTGTGAAAAAATGCACGAAAGCCCAAACATGCGACATGCGACGCCTTGATTTTTTCCATGCGGGGCCCCTAGAAGTCCCGTCCACGGGACCGGCTTTTCGTCTGAATCTTGTCACCGAGGCCCAGCGATGGCCTCCCAAGGCCGAAGATGGTGAAACACCTTCCGATCGGTGAGGGTCCCGGGGCCCGATAATCAGGCGAAAACGCCGAGTGTGAAAACACCTGCAACGCCAGGACCTCAAGGTAATGTCCACCCCGCAGCGGCACGAGCGCAGGCGGTGCGAGCGCCTGGATTGGGCGCGAATTCATGGGGGGGGCGATGAACGAGGTGGGAGAAAGGTTGCCTTTTCGGGCCCTGAAGGCCCTTTATGGGCTCTTGAAGGGCCCGGGCCCGGGCCCGAAAGGGCCCCGGGCCCTGAAGGGCCCCTTTTCGGCAGCCCTCGCTGCCTCCCCATTTGCAAGTGGAGTTGGACCGAAGCCAACATCATCCTTCAAGAACAGGAGGCCCTCCGCCGGCCAACACAAATAGACATTCCAAGGGCACAAGAACATCGTACAAACACGAACCCTGAGATCCGCCATTGCAGAAAAATGCAACATCGCAAAACAATCACGACCGGAGCCCCAGACCCAATCTTTCCGCGCCATTGTTCGAGCCGCATTGATCTGTGAGGGTCCCGGGGCTCCAAGATGCAGCAGAAACGCCCGTGATGTGACAACATGGAAACGCCAGGATCCCACAGCTCTGGAAACAACATGTGACAACATGGAAGAGCTCTGGGGTGAACCTCCCCGAACCGACCCTGATTGTTCGTGCCCCGGTCCGGCTGCATCGCCCCCCCCCATTGCGCGGCCTCCGACGCCTGGCGCACGGCTCGCTGCAGGGGTTTCTCGCGCCCCGCGCGCGGGGCGCCGCGCAGCTTAGCCGCGCCGGCGCGGCACGAAGCGGGGAGGTGCTCGAATTCGTGGAGGAGGAGAAGGAGGAGGAGGAGGAGGAAGAGGAGGAGAGGAGGAGGAGGAGGAGGAGGAGGAGGAGGAGGAGGAGGAGGAGGAGGAGGAGGAGGAGGAGGAGGAGGCGGAGGAGGAGGAGGAGGAGGAGGAGGATGAGGAGGAGAAGAGGAGGACGAGGAGGAGGAGGAGGAGGAGGAGGAGGAGGAGGAGGCTGCGCCCAGGCATACTGACATGCGGCGCGGGCCGTCCTGCCCTGCGGCCCCCCGAGCGAGGCACCTCCGACCTCCCTGTTTGGGGAGATACCTTGGATCTCCTCGCGGGAGTGAGTCACTGTCGGCTACACGCAGGAGTGACCCTAGGCAAGAGTGACCTTTAGTGCGCGGCCAAGGGGGGGCCCTTCGGGGGCACCACCAGGCGAGCAAGCCGCTGTTACCTTACCGCATTCAACGATCGGGGGACCCCATTGGGCCCGCACCAAAGGTCACTCCGGCGACAGGTCACTCTTATGTTTCGTAGACACTGGCGCTGGAGGCGCCACTGGGGGGCCCGGCGCGGATCCAAGAAATCCGCGCGGAACTCCAAAAGTTCATGTTTGTGGCGTTGTTTCTTCGTAGACTTTCCCCCCGTAACGTTTCCACTGCCCTTCCGCGTTCTGGCCTGCAAAGCCATGACTCACGCCTCCTGCGGGCGTGCGGAGCGCTTGCGGCACCCCCAGATGATGCCCTCGACAAGGCGCAGCTGCTGGAACCTATCTCGGGCCTCGGGAACCTTGAAACACCCTCGGCAAAAACCTCAACGTTTGAACCCGTCCCTCGTCTACGCCGAGGCGGGGGTGTCGCTCCTGCCTACTGCGATCAAGGAAGGGGCCCGGAAGCACGGAGGAAGGATGATGAGGAGAAGGACACGGCGGAGGAGGAGGAGGAGGAGGAGGAGAAGGAAACGGAGGAGGAGCAGCAGGATGAGTAGCGAGCGGAGGAGGCTGAGGAGTGGGAGGAAAAAGAAGAAAAGGAGGGGGACGAGGAGGAGGAGGAGGAGGAGGAGGAGGAGGAGGAGGAGGAGAAGGAGGAGGAGGAGGAGGAAGAGGAAAAGAGGAGGGGGGAGGAGAGAAGGAGGAGGAGGGGAGGAGGAGGAGGAAAGGAGGAGGGGGAGGGGGAAGAGGAGGAGGAGGAGGAGGAGGAGGAGAAGGAAACGGAGGAGGAGGAGGAGGAAGAGGAGGAGGGGGAGGAGGAGGAGGAGGAGGCTGGATCTCACAACAATGGGGAGTCCTGGCCCCGCGGCGGCGGGCGTCTCCCGCCGAGCTCGGGTGCGGGGTCGGCTCCTGACCCCGCCTCCGCCTCGCGGAACGAAGCCTCACCGCGCAGGCGAGCCACCAGGATCGTCAAGGATCGAGGACCAAAGTTCGAGGACCGAGGGTCGATGCTCGAGAGCGAGGATCGAAAGGTACCGCGTTGCTGAACAGATATTCGCCCAGGGCCGCCCCCGCCCCCGCCCCAAGCTCCCAGATCCCTGGCGCGCTCCGCGTGCCAGGGATCCGGGATCAGCGCAGAAAGAGGAAGTCCTCGTATAACTCCAAATATATGTGTGATAAAGCAGTGTTGCAAATACCCGAATCACATCCCCTGGCAACTCTCGCTTTTGCAAGATGGTGATGCTGATGGTGATGATGATGATGCTGCTGCTGCTGATGATGATGCTGATGATGATGACGGTGGCGATACTGATGCTGATGATGCTGCTGCTGCTGATGATGATGATGATGAGGATGATGATGATGGTGGTGATGCTGATGCTGATGCTGCTGATGATGATGATGATGCTGATGACTATGCTGATGCGGTTGGTGATGTTAATGATGCTGATGATGACGATGATGATGATGATGACGATGATGATGATGATGATGATGATGATGATGAAGATGGTGATGATGATGCTGCTGGCGGTGGTGATGGTGATGATGATGAATAAGAAGATGGTGATGGTGAGGATGATGATGAGGATTATGATGATGATGATGATGATGATGATGATGGTGATGGTGATGGTGATGGTGATGGTGGTGGTGGTGATGATGATGATGACGGTGATAATGATGATGATGACGACGACGATGATGATGATGCTGCTGCTGATGATGATGACGATGATGGAACGCTCCCCGAAGATGTTCCGTGGATCTAAACTGAACACACATCGCCAGAGACTAAGATGCCACCCTTCACGACCATCAGACTTCAGGTGAAGCGTAATGGTCAGATAATACAGACGATCAAAACTGATAGGCTCCGTGTGAGAGACGCTATCTTCGTCATCGTCGTCCTCGTCGTCAGTCTCAAGGAAATTGAGGAACAAGGAAAATAAACGTCGTTATAAAGTCGATTCCGTTCCCTTTATCCCTTCCTTGCCGTGGGGGGTGGGGGGGGTGGTGGGGCGGGCGGGAGGGTGTAAGGGTGGGGGGGGGGGCGGGTCCCGGGTCAGAAGGTCCCGGCGGGTCTCGGGGGGGGTCGCCAGCCGGGTCCCGGCGTGTTCCATGACGGGTTTGCCATGCAGCAGAAGTCCCATGGAGGCACCGCCTTCAAGGTGGGCGGCACCGGCCGTAAGGCCTTCGCAACAATAGGCTCCAGATGATTCCCGCCTCAGCTCGGAGGCGTGCGACCTACAGAACGCGCGGGGCCTTCGGGGTGAGGCAGCCGCTCCGCGCCGTTCCGAGCGCCGTGCGTCAGGGCGCTGGCCCGCAGCGCCCGACCCGGCGGGGGCGAGAGATGTCCTTGGAAGAAGATTAGAGGCAGAAATAACATCGTAAGCATATGCTTTTGGAGCAGGGATCGACCTAGCCAATGTTTTTCGTTTGCGATTTGTTTTCGTGTTCCCTCGTTCTGTCTTCAATCCGCCTTTGCTGCAAAACAATAGCAAAACGAAATCAACCCACGAAATCGCGAAAACACAGTTTAGGTCGAGCCCTGTTTCGGAGGTTCGCGCGGATTTCTTGGGTCTCGCGAGCTCCGCGCGCCAGGAAGGGAGCTTCTAGCCCAGCCCCGGAGACGCCGCCAGGGGGCCCCAGCGCGGATCCACAAAATCCGCACGGACCGTCGAAAGTTTAGTGTATGCCGTTTCTCTTCTTCGAAAGATGCGCGAGCAAAGACATATCTGAATATGTACCCACTCCGCGGTGTTCCTCATATGCACGAGTGGCCGCGTGCAGTGCAGGCCAGCGGACGCTGGCCGCGTACGCGTACATACTTTGTCGGCCCATGAGAAGAACAACTGCATTATGGACTTCTTTGACCTGCGCCGAACTCCCTCCCTGGTGCGCGGATCGCGCCAGGAGCGGCGCCGGAGGCGCCGCCGGGGAGGGCGAGGCAGATATGAGAACTCTGCGTGGAGCGTCGAGAAGTTTTGCTTATGCCGCTCATCGTTTTCGAAGATGTCCCCCCCCAACGTTGCCCATAACCTTCCGCTCTTTGGCCCTCATACCATAACTCGGGCCTCTGGCGGCCCTTCGGAACGATACTGGCACCCCCGGGATGCCTTCGCGGAGCAGCTGATGGAAACCACCCTGGGCCGAGGACACTCAGGAAAGCTCTGGACCCATACATCCGCCGATACGATTTTTCCAATCCGCGGCCTAGAGGCCCCGACCCCTTCCCCCGGGTTGGGTTTTCGCCCCGGAGCCATATTTGATGGCCCCCAGGCCCAGTAATGGGCCCTGGAGGCCGAAATACAGGAACATTTTTGAAAACATCAGATCTACAATAAGAAGAAGAATGCGAAAACACGCCATACACATGAACTTTGGGCGCCCCGCGCAGATTTCTTGGATTTGCGCTGGCTCCTCCGTGGCGCGTGGAGCGCGCCAGGGGGGCCCTAGCGCGGATCCAAGAAATCCGCGCGGAGCGCCAAAAGTTTACGCTTTTGCCGTTGTTTCTTCTCCGAAGGAAAAGGATTGAACAAGTCGTATGCTCTCCTCCTCCTCCTCCTGCTCCTCCACCTCCTCCTCTCTCTTCCTCATCCTCCTCCTCCTCCCTCTTCCATCTTCCTCCTCCTCCTCCTCCTCCCTGCCTCCTCTTCCCCTCCTCCTCCTCCTCCTCCTCCTCTCTCCTCTTCCTCCTCCTCCCCTCCTCCTCCTCCTCCTCCTCTCTCCTCCTCCTCCTCCTCCTCCTCCTCCTCCCTCCTCCTCCTCCTCCTCCTCCTCCTCCTCCTCCTCCTCCCCTGGGCACCCGGCAGGGGGCGAGAGAGGTCCTCCTCCTGCATGTCGGCGCGGACGGGGCCCCCGCGCTGCGGCAGCGCCGCCCAGGCGGCAGCGGGCACCCCCTTGAGCGCGCCCGGGGGCGCGAGGGTCGGCACGGAGACGACCAGGGGCAAGCCCAGGTCCTCCCGGCGGCAACGCCAGGGGCCTATCCTCCTCCTCATCATCATCCTCCTCCTCCTCCTCCTCCTCCTCCTCCTCCTCCTTCCCTCCTCCTCTCCTCCTCTTCCTCCTCCTCCTCCTCCTCTTCCCTCCTCCTCCTCCCCTCCTCCTCCTGCCTCCTCCTCCTCCTCTCCTCCTCCTCTTCCTCCTCCTGCTCCTCCTCCTCTTCCTGCTCCTCCTCCTCCTCGCCCTCCTCCTCATCATTTCCCCTCCTCCTCCTCCTCCCCCTCCTCCTCCTGCTCCTCGTCCTCCTCCTCCTCATGCCCCCTCTCCCACTAATGGTAGTGGTGGTGGTGGAAAAGTGACCCAGGTCCTCTCGGCGGCTCTTTGCTACGACAACCCAGACATGATCGCGTCGTGGAGGAGTTAGGGGAACGAATAATTACATAAACATAATAACTCGGAGGTCCGCGCGGACTTCTTGGATCCGCGCTGGGACCCCCTGGCGGCGCCTCCGGCGCCGCCCCTGGCGCGTCCTTGCGTCAGGTCGAGGGATTCAGCGCGGATCCAAGAAATCCGCGCGGACCTCCGTTTTTATGTTTATATGGCAGTCTACGTCCCCCTATCTCTGCTACGAGCAGCCCAGCCATGACCGCGTCGTGAAAACGAAGTCGGGGCGGAACGTCTCTGTTGGCAGGCTGGCCGCAGCGACACCGCCGCGGGCCGCGCGTCCAGAAGGGGGGGTGGGCCCGGAGGTGCAGCCACCTGGCCGGTGCCGGGATCGCAGAGGCTCCCGCCGGGGGTCGTCGTCGTCGTCGTCGTCGTCGTCGCCGTCGCCGTCGCCGTCGCCGTCGCCGCCGTCGCTCGCTCGAGCGTTGAGATTCTTGCGGAGGGCTTTCCAAAGCTCCCGAGGCCCGGGAGGAGTGCCAGCAGCTGCGCCCGTCGAGAGCCTCTCGGGTTGACCCAAAACAGGGGGTCCGGCGACGAGGTGGCGGTGCAATCGATTGTGACAGCATTGTGGCGGGGATTTGCAAGGGGGTGACTACATTGCGACTACATTGTGGCGTGTATTGTGACTACACTGTGACTACATTGTGACTACATTGTGAAAGGGGGTGGTGCAATTTGGTGCAAGCGATTTGTGACTACCCTGGGGCGTGGAACACATCCCGGGGCGCAAATGTCTCGCCGGATTCTCGCGTGCAATGCATGACTTGCGATACGATGCAATGCGATTCCCCGGCGCCATCCATTTGCCCCGAATCTATTGCACCACCCCCCGATCAGCAGGACCCACTTCTGGGTGTGCTCGAGCACTGCCTGGGGGGTGCCGGTCTCGGTCCGAGCGGCCGCAGGGAGGTCGGAGTCGTGGCCTGCAGGGCGGGAAGGCGGGAGGCCGGTGGAGACGTCACGGGGGGAGCAGGGCCTCAGGCTGAGCACTTTCTCAGGGTGGTTACCAGCCTCGAGCTTATCCCTATCCCTAAGGTTGACACGCTCAAAGGCGATGACAATCTCAGGGATGCGCCCTCAAAAAACAAGGGAATCCCTAAGGTTGGCATCGTGATGAGGAGATGCCCAGCATAGGGATAGGGATATGTTCCAGGCTGGTAAGTGGGGGGCTCAGGGTGAAATCCATAGGGGCTTCTGCACCTCGAAAAACGGATATAAACCTCGGAAATCCATCGAAACAGCATGTCACCCCTTGCCCTCCACCCAGAGAAAATGCTCGGTCAGGGGGGGACGCGCCCAGACATGATCGCGTCGCAAACAGATCAGGGCGGAGGTTTTGTGGCCAATTTCGGCCTCAGGGGGCCCTCGCCGGGCCTTGGGACCGTCATGATCGCGTCGCACAGAATCGGTACGAGAAGCTTTTCGCCAATTTCGGCCTCGGAGAGCCCTCGCCGGGCCTCGGGACCTTCAAAAAACGACCCAGGAGGAAAAGCCGGGCCCGGGGAAAGGGTCGGGACTTCCAGGGGCATCGTATTGAAAAAATCAACGCGTGTCTGTGTTTTCTACGAACGAGCCCTCAGTGCAGAGATGCACCGGTAGGGAGAACGAGAAGAGGGGGGACGAAGTTCTTCGAGGTTCGAGGCTTGAGGTTTTCGGACGCTTTCGTGGGGGTGTCGGCTGCGTTCCACCCGCGGCATGCCTTCCAACGGCTGCGCCTCGCCGAGACCGCCCTGGGAGCTCCGTGATCGTCCCGAACGGCCGCCAAGTCCGAACTATGACCCGAAAACCACAAGGGGATTGGCTCCGGGGGGGGGGAACCGTCGAACTGGAATCGGCGACGCATCGCCGATGGATCGGAAACGGGCCCTCGAGAGCGAAACCCCACGGTCCTGGACGGGGTGGACTAGCAGGCCCCCAGCGGCAATCCATGGGCGGTTGGAAGTCGATGCGTCCCCCCCCTGAGCCATCTCCCCCCGACGCTGCCCCTGAAGTGCGCTCAGCGAGCGCGGGGAGCGCGGCAGAGCGCGTCGTCCAGGAACTGCCACGCGAGATCGTGAGGTTTCGCAGCTTGCTGGGCCCAAGACTGCATCGCTCCCCGAAAGGGTCTCACGGGGCGGCAATGGATGAGCTGCTGCGAGAGGAGGTTGGGAACAGGGGCAGGTGCCCAGGATCGATCTCTGGAGCAGGGGATGGCGGCCAGGCCCCGCATCGAGTCTTCAAGCAGCCCTGCTGGGCAGGCGCTGGTTGCCGCTGAAGCCGTGCGTTTCAGGAAGGCTGGGTTGCTGAAAAGGAAGAGAGTAACTCGCCATCGCTCGGACGTCCATTCCCCGTGCATTTTTCGGTTTAGTAAATGTTTGTTGTGTTGCTCGTTGGTCGAGGATGGTCCTCGATGGTTCTCGCCGAGATAAAATGCACACGTCCGAGCGATGCCAGGGTAAGGCGGGAGCGAGAGGGGAGGGGAGGCTCAAACCATGCATGTTCAACCTGGGATTCATTCCTACCCTGTGGACCCCATCCCCCATCCCCTACAGTCAACCCGCATCAACAGGACGCACGATAGGGATGCAAGGGCCTTGGAAAACCGTTTCGAGGCTTCTCGAGCCGGGCGCGGCCAACGAATGTGGCCAAGGATGGACCGAGGAGGCAAGGATACAAAGGTACCATTGGGAAAATTGTCCATCCTTACTATGCGGGTTGACTGGAGGGCCACCTTTTTGAGCCGCCGAGTCCTCGTGGTCCCGCTCCACCTCCTCTGGCGCGCAGCAGAAATCGGGCCCGCCCCTCTCGATCATCCTCAGCAGCACGCGCGCGCTGTCATCGAGGCTGACGCCTGCGCCGGCCATGTGGGTGATCCACTGCGGGATGTAAAAGAAGAAAAACAGCGCAAACTTTGACTTTTGGCGCTCCGCGCGGGTTTCTTGGATCTGCGCTGGACCCCCCTCTCGCCGCCAGGGGGCCCCAGCGCAGATCAAAGAGATCCGCGCGGAGCGCCGAAGTCCATGTTTATGCAGTTTTGTTCTTCTTCGAGGATGTCCCCCACGCCGAGCATCTGGCACAGCTCATTGGCGAAATGGCAGCAGTTGCGGCGGAGCGTGTCGTAGCCGCGGGCCGGCCACCGCGCGTGGAGATTGTCGAGCACGCCGCGCACCTGCGCAGCGTTCATGGCCGTGTGGCCCAGGTCCACCGACTCGCGGTAGTCGTAGTTGCAGGCCTCCCTCGGCGGGGCGCAGAAGATGCCGCTGCCGGTGACGGGGTCCCCGACGCTGCAGAAGGCCCACTCGAAGAGGTAGATCTCGACGCCGACGTGGAACATGCCCGTGCCAAGGGGCCGCAGCACGTCGTTCAGCCTCGTGGGGCCGACGTCGTACACGTGCAGCGACACGGGCGCGGAGCTGGTGGCCGCCGCGGCGCCGCGGGAGTCGCGCCTCTCCGAGACCGAGCACGATAGAAAGCTCCGCTTGCTGCCGCCGCACCCCGCCTGATTGCCCATGGCGCGCAGCCGCGGCCGGCCCCGCAGACTTCCGTGGCAGCCCCTGAGCCAACATGGCTGGGTGATGGAGAGGGCTCGTCCTTGTCCTCTCCCTGTCTTGCTCGTCCTCGACGCCCTCGTCAAGAGTTAGAGATTCAAGGCCAAAGAGTTTACCAAACCATTTTGGGTTCTTATTGGGCCTGCAGGGGCCTGTGGGAGCATCTCAAAGCCTCCGGGTGCCTGGGCAGCCGCAGAGAGGGCATGAGGAGGGTGGACTTCATTAGTCCCGCAAGCGTCACTCAGAAATCGACGGGCGTATCATGATATTCCTTCTGTGCCAAGATCGTTCCTCCCTGGTTCCAACAAGTTCGCTCTGACTGCTATTCGCAACCGCTGGAACTGTGGCACAGGAAGTGTGATGCTGGGGACCATGGGTGAAACCTGAGGGCGTGACCAACGGCGCCGAACTCATTATGCGGGCCTCGACCTCATGAGCTTCTGGCTGTAAAGGGTGGCCGCAGGGGGGGGCCCTACCCCCTGGACGCACCCCCTGGACCGCCAGCCCCTGCACGCAGAGTCGGCAGCAGCGTCCGCACGGCCCAGGCAAGCGGGCCTTCGGACATGCGATCGTAGGAGAGGCCCAGCTCTGCACAGAGCGAGCGCCGCTGCTTCCAGCCCGCTGCCAGGTAGCCGTCCACGACCGCGACCCAGAAGCAGTGGTCGGACCTCGGCTAGCGTTAGGTCGGGCACACACCCCGTCTACAGGCGAACTCTGGACGAAACATAAAAGATAGCCAAACAAATAGCCCACATGATCAAATATACTAAAAACAATCGTCCCCATACGATGTTTCCTACTATTTTTGAACGTTGCTCCTGTAGAAGGACAGGCCCGACTTAAGGCTAGCATTAGAAAGCCCAGGGTTCGCTAAGGACTGGCGTCCCCACAAAACGACGAACATCCGCCCCAAACCCTCCCGAAATCCTACGAGAACCCTCCCGGAACCCTTCCCTGAGGGTTTGCGGAGGGTTTCGGAAGGGTGTCGGCTATAGTGCGGGCGCGGCCGCAAGAAACCCTCGCAAGAAACCCAACCCTGAGAACCCGTGCGCGAGGTGCACCTGAGGGGAAACGTGGAGCACACTGAACGCAGCAGCTCCTTCAGCGGCCGCGGGAGGTCGCCGCGCCGCGCGCGGAGCGAAGAAACCCAGGGTACCCTGACGAAAAGCATATGGTTTCTTGATGCGCGCCCCCACTGTATTCTGAAACGAAACCAGTCCCTAGCGAACCCTGGACTTTTTAAGGCTAGCCGGAGCACACGGCGGCAAGTGGTGGCGGAGGGAACCGAGCGGCCGTGAACTCACAGGACAGGGCTGGGCCCCTCGCGTTGTGTTCTACAAGCAGCGCTCAAGCCAAGGAAACTTTTTGCCCTGCTGCTGAGTGGACGGCTTCCCCAGGGCCGTAGGCGACCCGAGAAAGGCAGGGCGAGGAGTTAGAGGGGGAGGAGGTGGAGGAGGAGGAGGAGGAGGAGGAGGAGAAGGAGGCAGAAGGCAAGATCCCGCGACATCTTGGTCATGTTCGGTGGCAACTCATGGGAGCCCCCCACATCATCTTGTCGGCTCTTGCGACCCGACGCTGATCGACGCTGATCGACGCTAAACCTGCGCTACCCTATCGACTCGCAGGCGCTCGTCGGCGCTAGAGACGGAGTTCAGAAGGTACACCAGGCTCCCATGATCGGGGGCGTCCAGGAGGGGGGCGTCCAAGAGGGGGGAGCGGAGCGGAGCTGAGTCCGCCGGCCGGCCGGCGGGCCCCTGAGGAGCAGCGCGGGTGGGCCGGAGCCCGCTTACTGAATGTGGTGGAGGAAGCCGTCTTCCCAACTGTCCCAAAGTATCTGATCACATGCATAGTCCAGCCAATGTTGAGTGATTCCCCCAATTCGACTTTGTCCAAATTGGGACAAAGGCAAACCATGGCCCAAGGCATGCGCGCGGACCTTCATGGGGGGATGCCAGGGAACGCAGGGATGCAACCAGAAGAGGGGCCACGACATCTGGAGAGACATCATGGCCCTGGACATGACATCCCCCCCCCTAGCCTTAGGTCGGTTCTGTCCCCCTACAGGCGGATTTTGGACGAAACAGAACATACTCAAAACACACTCCCAAATGGTACAAACAACAAACAAAATCGTCCCCAGACAATCTTTTACTATTCTGGTAGATTCCGCCTGTAGAGGGACAGGCCCGACCCAACCCTAGCCATCACCCCCCTCTTGGCCGCTCGCGACACGACATGCGAATTACCAAGGCCATGGCCCTCGTGCTCCCCCGGACCCGAGGACGTGCCATGGAGAGCGGAGCACGCCTGCCCCCGCCGGCTCTGGCCCGCAGCCGCCCTCCTCCGCCGGCCTCCCGCCACCCCCTCCGCCGATACGGCGTGGGCATGGACTGCCCGGACAAGATCGCGCCGTGACAAAAATCAGGACGGAAGGTTTTTGGCCAACTTCGGCCTCGGAGGGCCCTCGCCGGGCCTCGGGACAGCGAAAAAAGGACGCGGGATGGAAAACCAGTCCCGGGGAAAGGGTCGGGACCTCCAGGGCCCCCGTATCGAAACTATCAGGACGTCGCATTTCGTGGTGAGGAACCCTTGGAGAAGGAATCGGGGGTCTGCAAGCCAGTGGAACTCCAGTCGTGGATCGGCCATGGACGCCACCCCAGACCCCCGACGTCATGATTTTTCCATGACGTCGACCCCTGAGGTCTCGACCCATTCCCCTGGACCGGTTTTTCATCCTGAATTGTTGTTTGACGGTCCCGAGGGCCGGTAAGGGCCCCCAGGAGGCCGAAAATTGCGAAAAACCTCCCGTCATGATTTTTTCATTGCCCGAGGGGGTCTGGGACCGTCGCCCTCCTTGGCTAAGGAATCCTCCAGGATCCGGCGCCTCCTGGGGCTACTCCCTGGAGAGAACGCCCCCACCGCATGTATCCTCCGCCGGGGGCGGAGGCCCCGACGCTCGAAGTGCCCCTCGGAGGCGAAGGCCCCTCTCTGGAGTGAAGTCGGGCGTGTTCCCCTGCAGGGCGATTGTCGACTAAAAATAAGAGATGCCCCCAACAGATTCCCAAATGGTCAAACAATAATCCCCATAGTATTTTTGTTTGGCTACTTTTGCAGGTTCCTCCTGTGGAGGGACGGGCCCGACTGAACTCTGGAGCGCCGCGCTCTCCCGCATCCTCCGACCAGCGTTTTGTTTCTCAGCCCTGCGGCGGTAGGAAGCCCTGAGATCCTGGCGTCTCAATCTTTTGAGCCAGGCGTCTTCTCCCAAATGTCGAACCCCGGGGCCCTCACAAATCGATCCAGCTTGACAACATGGCGCAGAAAGATTGGGTCTAGGGCTCCGGTCGTGGTTTGTTACGATGCTTCCATTTTCTCGAATCGTCGGATCTCAGGGAAAGGGTGTGGCGCAGAGGGGTGTAATACCAATCGTGAAGATGGCGAGGTGGACTACGATAGAAAGCAAGGCCAAATGCGGCAGTGCCACCACACCACCCCTTTACACCACACACCCTTCCTACCTCCAGCGAACCGCGGCTCAGAGTTCCCGGCCCTTCACCGTGGGATGCGCATGCGCTCGCCCTGAAAGCCTGATAGTGAACGGGCCCCAGATGCCGAAACCGGAGAGGAGTGCTGGGATCGAGAGAACATCGGCTCGTGGGAAATGCTTGGGCTTGGGCGGCACAGATCTCGTAGCCCTCGCTGCCAGCCGTGCCTGCGTCTGGGCGACGCTCCATGGGGAGGCGATGAATGGAGAGGCGCGAGGGCTGCAGAACAGGTGCCCTCGAGGGCCCCTGAAGGGGCCCTGCGGGGCCCGAGAAGTGCGCCTTTCTCCCCCCCCCCCCCCCCCCCACACTCATCTATCGGGGAGACGTAAGACCTGGGTACGGGGGACTCGGAAATCCCCGACGAGGTCGTCAAAAAAATGACGAGGCCGAGCCTGCATTTTGACGAGGCCTCCCGCTGCAGACATCCCACAAAACTCCTCCTCGTCAAAATCCGAGTCGCGGTCGTCAAAAAACAATGGCGAACCCGAGTCCCGGCAAACCCGGGTCTTACGCTCCCCCGAATCTATCGCCGCCCCAGCAAGCGACGCCCAACACTTCTGAGATTCGGGGTTGTCAAAAAGGTGTGGGCTTGGGAAGCACAGGTGCGCCCAGATGTGCGACGCCCTGATTTTTTCAACACGGGGTTCCTGGAGGTCCCGGCCCTTTCCCCGGGACAAGCTTTTCATCCCGTGTCGCTGTTTGACGGCCCCGAGGCCCGGTAAGGGCCCCCAGAGGCTGAAAATAGCGAAAAACTCCCGTCATTTTTTATATAAAAAACGACGCGATCATGTCCAGGGGGAGATGGTAGGGAGGAGGAAGAGGAGGAGGAGGAGGAGGAGGAGCAGGAGGAGGAGGAGGAGGAAGAGGAGGAGGCTTGCACGCCCATGAGAAGGGGAAGAAGGGAGAGAGAGGTCCCTCAGCCGCCCACCAGCCGCGCCGCTTGCACAAACCGGCGCACGATTCGCGCTGCCTGCATCAGCCTGACCGAGGGGCTCCAACGGGGCAAAGCAATGGAACCCCCGAGTGCGCAGACCACCCCCCGTCTCATCTCTGCCGCTGAGTTGAAACTGGGGGATGGGCCGCGACTTGGCCCCGCAGGGCTTCGCACAGGAGACTAAGGCCACCCAACCCTGCGCGCCAGTTCCTCCGTCGCTTCACTGTGGCGACTTCACCTCCGCAGCTGTAGCTCCATGGCGTCCCGTGTCTGCGGGGTCTGCAAAAAGCGTGGCTGAGTTTCGCGATCTGGGCCTCAACTGTCGCGATATGGGCCTCAACCTGCGCCTCCCCCTGCCAGGAGAGAATGAAGGGGCCCTGGGACACACAAATACATATACACAAATAACCGGATTCCCACTATTTTCCAAATATTTTTGAGGTTTTGTCTTCCCCCCTCATTCCAGCGACATTGAGTAACGTTGTCGCTGAGTCGAAGGGAAGCCCCTTCCCTTTGATCCCTTCCCCACCGGGGGGGGGGGGGGGTCGCCGGGGGGGGTCGCAGGGGGGGGTCGCCGGGGGGGTCGCCACCCAGATACGCCTCCCCCCCGGGCGGTTCTGGGGCCCAGAAAACCCCCAAGACGCGGCAAAAGTGCCCCAAGAGGCTCCGAGACGGTCCTCGAGGGCCCCGCATCGCCGAACTATCGGTCGAACACGCCAAAGTAGCCTCGATAACGTCCCAAGAGGCCTCCAAAAACACTCCCAAGAAGGCCCCAAGGTGCAAAAATCATAGCATTCCCTTTGTTTTTTTGACGGTTTTTGGAGTTCTCGCGTTTTCGGCTTCCCGACGCTTCAAGACGGCCCAAGAGGCCCCCAATATCGCCCCCAGACGGCCCAAGAGGCCCCCAAAACGACCCCAAGACGACCCAAGATGGCCCCAAGACGACCCAAGAGGCCTCCAAGACGGCCCAAGAAGCCCCGAAGACGGCTCCAAGAGGGAGCCCAGACAGGGGAGCCGAACGGACATTTCGAGCCCTCGCCCTGAGAGGCGCCCGGGCGGCCCCCAGAGGCCCCCAAGAAGCCCCCCAAGAGGCCCCAAGAGGCCCCCAAGAGACCCCCAGGAAGCCCCAAGAGGCCCTCACGAAGCTCCCGAGAGGCCCCAAGAGCCTCCGAAGAGGCCCCAACACTACCCTCAAGAGACCCCCGAGAGCGCTCGTCGTCGCCGTCGCCGTCGCCGTCGCCGTCGCCGTCGCCGTCGTCGTCGTCGCCCTTCAGGGTCGGCGGCACTGGCCGTAAGGCCTTCGCAATATTTTCAGGGTTTTGTCTCCCCCCCTCATTCCAATATTTTCCGTGTTTTCTGTTGGATCAGCGATTAGTTGTGTCTGTGTGTTTCCCCCTCCTACCGGGAGAGAAACTCGATCGTGTGCATGGCCCAGGGGCGGCCTCCACTACGGCGAAGCTCTCAGGTCTCCTGCCCGAGCTCAGCAACAGAATTCGGCAGCGGCCTTCCGCATGGCCATCCGCTGCCCGCGAAAAACAACCATGAGCTCTTTCGCTTCTTCGTTTCTTGCCTGGGCTCCTCCGTCTCCTCTTGGGCCTCCGCGCCAGCCCACGCGTCCAGCTCGTCGCGGGACAGCTCAGGCATGTCGCAATCCGACTGCTCGGACGTCGCACCGCTGCCGCTCTCGATGTTGTGCACTCCGTCAACGCCCCTGCCCAGCTCGCCGTCGTCGCCGAACGGGTCGGGCATGCAGAGATCTTGCTCGGGTTTCGCTTCTCCTCTGCGGTCGACGATGTGCACCTCGCTCGCGCCACTGTCCAGCTCGCCGCCGAACGACTCAGGCTCAGGCATGTCGAAACCCATGCGATCGGACTCCTGGGCGATGCCCTTCTCGTCGTCGTGCACGTTCTGGATCGTGTCCTGCTGCGCCCATTGCCCACTGAGGCCGCCGCCGAAGTCGGGCGCGACAGCACCAAGGAGGCCGATAGGAACAAAGGCGGGCGCCTTCGCCCGCATCGCCCCGGCGGCAGCGCCCCGCCCCGGGGCGCCGCGCGCCCCTCCAGCTGGGGCCCCTCGCTGGAGGGCGACATCACGCCGCGGGCGCTCGAGCCACGATGTCCACGCCCTGCGCCTCAGCGTGGAGGGCGACATCACGCCGCGGGCGCTCGAGCCACGATGTCCACGCCCTGCGCCTCAGCGTGGAGGGCGACATCACGCCGAAGGCGCTCGAGCCACGATGTCCACGCCCTGCGCCTCAGCGTGGGGGGCGGCATCACGCCGCGGGCGCTCGAGCCACGTGGGGGGCCTCCCCCCCACGTGGCTGCATCGCGGGGAGCATCGCGGGGAGCATCGCCTGCAGCCGCTGCGCAACCTCGCCGTCGCCGATGGCGGCGCACAGGGCCTCCTCCGCGGCCTCCAGGCGGAAGCGGGTCTTGGCCAGCTCGCCCGAGAGCCGCCGGACGACGTTGTCGGCGGACCACATCGCCCACTCTCGGCCCCTGCCCTGCGCTGGGCCGCCGATCGCCTTGGCGCGCCCTCCGCGCCATTCCGTGCCACCGTCGCTCCGTGAGCCGAAATCCCTGCCCCCCCAGGGCCCTCACGCCCGCCCAGGATGGGGATACGCCGAGGGATAAGGTCCAGGAACAGGGGGCCTGAGGGGAAAGGCCTGAGCCAAAATGGCTACGGAGGAGGAGGAGGAGGAGGAGAAGGAGAAGGAGAGGACAGGGAGGAGAACGAGGAGGAGGAAGAGGATCAGGAGAAGGAGAAGGAGGAGGCAGGGAGGAGGAGAAGGAGAGGGCAGGGAGGAGGAGGAGGAGGCAGGGAGGAGGCAGGGTAACCGATCGTGTCTGCGTCACCCTTGTTGCCAGCTGTGCCCACGTCTGCTCTGTTGGCCGCCCCGCAGCCCCGGGGGTTAGGTCGAGCGCGGCCGCTGGGCGCCCGGCTTGCTGCCGCCCTTGCCCTTGAGGCACCGGCGCTGCAGCTCCTCCCTGTTCCTCTCCTCGGCGTGTGGGGGGGGGGGGCTGGGCGGGAAGAGTGGGGGGGAGGAGTGAGCTGAGAGGGAGGGAAAGGAACAGCAGAAGGGGGGGAGGAGGGAGGGGGGGGGACGAGGGAGCGGTAAGAAGGGGGGGGCGCGGAGGGAGAGGAGCAGCATTATCAATCATGGGGGGGAAGCAGCAAGGTGGGGGAAGAGGAGGAGGAGGAGAGTGCGCGAAAGAGAAGAAGATAAGGATGAAACAGATGAACAATCTGGGGCGAGACGAACAGGGATACACGGGAGGAGAAGGAGGATGAGGAGAAGGAGGAGGAAGGAGGAGAACGATAATTAGTGCGGAGCATCGGGAACAAGGAGGGGGAGGAGAGTACGAGGGGCATGAGGTGGAGGAGAAGGGCGGAGAGAGGAAGGAGGAGGAAGAGCGATGAGGAGGCGGCCAGGCAAAAAGAGGGAGAAGAAAGAGCCAGGAGGATCAAGACAAGGAGGGAGGGATGGTGGGGCAGGACACGGGGTGGAGGGAGGGCGGGAGGGGAGATGAGGATGGGAGGGAGCGATGGCGGGAGAGAGTAACAGAGGATGGAAGGACGGATGGCGGGAGGGGGGAGGGAGGGCCGGCGGGAGGGCGGGGAGGGGTGGTGGGAAGGCGGGGAGGGCGGGGAGGGAGGGATGCGGGGCGAGCGACGGGAGGGTGGGAGGCGGGGGAGAGAGGGGGTCGGAGGGGGGGGGCATGGATGCGGGGGCGGGGCGGGGAGAAGCTGGAGCCGGCAGGGTCGGGGCAGCAGTGGCGGGGGGCGGGGGAGTCGGACGTCCGGGCGGGGCGTCCAAGGAGCTGCAAGGCCCTGACCTGCCAGCTCTGGCGCGGCCAGGGAGGGGCAGCCGAGGACGACGAGGACGAGGAGGAGGAGGAAGACGAGGAGGACAGAAGAGGAGGATGATGAGGAGGAGGAGGAGGAAGAGGAGGAGGAAGAGGAAGAGGAGGAGGAGGAAAAAGAGGAGGAGAAGGGGCGCCGCTGCTGCGACTCCGGGCTCTTCACGGCCCTATGTGGCTCTCGCCTGATCGCCGCGTAGATTCGACCAACAAATGACAAAGATTTACGGGTTGAGGGCGTGTGCTGTTCAAGATGTGGCTCTCGCACTAGCGCCGCGAACAGCCGTTGTTCAAAATGCAAGAGCTTCACACATGGAGGGCGGCTCCTTTTCAAAATGTGGCTCTCGCCTGAGCACCGCGCAAATCTGTTTCGACGATTTGCAAGAGCTTCACGGATGGAGGGCGGCTCCTTTCAAAATGTGGCTCTCGCCTCAGCGCCGCGCACATTCGCTTCAACAAATTGCAAGAGCTTACCGGATGGAGGGCGGCTCCTTTTCAAAATGTGGCTCTCGCCTTACCGACGCGCACATCCGTCTGGACAGTTCAACACAGCTTCACAAATTCTCATGGCTAACGCACAGGAATCGGCGTTGTGGGACGATGTCGAATTGTCAGGGCGCAACAGTTGCTTAGATTCCCGGAATTGAAGTCCTAGGAACGGTGCTCTGGCACGATTTAAGATCGTCTATACGAAACAGTAACGTCGATTCGCGGCGTTGAAACACCAGGAATGGTCTTCTGGCGCGTCTCAATATTTTCAAACGGTTGTCTTCCAACGGGGCACTTTCCCCAGTGAAAAAAATCCGTGCATGGGACCAATGAGGATGGAGCTTGAAGCGAGGGTCTATGGCAACATCGTTGATGAGTCTTGGATTTGCACTGGTCCTGCTCCTCCTCCTCCTCCTCCTCCTCCTCCTCCTCCTCCTCCTCCTCCTCATGCTTCTCGTCACCCTCCCCCCTCCCCTCCCCCCTCCCCTCCCCGTCCCTTTCCCTGTCTCCCTCCCTACCTCCCTCCTCCCCCTACATCCACTTCCCCCCTACCCCTCAGGTGCTCCTCCCCCCTGCTCCTCCTCAGATTCCCGCACCTCCTCCCTCATCCCTCCTCCCACCCTCTGCGAGAGGAGACGGCAGGAGTGCGAGGGAGGGGGTGGGGGCAAGCTAGCTGCGCTCGCGTCATATCTGACATCCTGCCCCTCCCTCCCATCCCTGACCATGGCGTAGGTCCCCTCTCTACTCGCACAGTCGGATGTCGAGCAGTGCAATGGTCCTGAAAGGGTACGCGATGCATTGTAAAGCACGGCATGGCATGGCGTAGAAGAGCACCGCAAAGCGTAGTATGTCACGGCATGGCGTGGCGTGGCGTAGTGAAGAATTGCATCACAAAGCTTTGCAACGCAAAGCATGGCATCGCACAGCGGCCCCGAACATAACATTGCATAGCATGGCGTTGAAGATCAAAGCGTAGCATGGCATAGCACGACGTGGCACTTAAACACTGAATATCACAGCTTCAGCTGAAGGCATGGCATCGCACAGCGGAACGCAACCTAGCATTGCATTGCATGCCGTGGCATGGCACGGGAAATGACGCCAGCGCTGCAGCGGGAGCACGATTCGGAACGAGCGGAAGCGCGGAACTGAGGCCAACGCTGCAGCGGGAGCACGATTCGGAACGAGCGGAAGCACGGAAATGAGGCCAGCGCTGCAGCGGGAGCACGATTCGGAACGAGCGGGGCCCGAAAATGAGGCCGGCGCCTCAGCGAGAGCAGCATGTTGAAAACAAATGCAAGCGAAAACCAAACTCCGGGGAATCCTGTGTGTAAAAAAACAGGATGGGGGGGGCGAACACTCCCAACCCGTCATCAGGGGAAGGAGGAGAGTAGTATTCATATTGAGTAATTGTCGAGGAGGGGGGCGAGAGGGTGAGGGCGGGAACCGAGGTCGGGATCCGATGGGGGGTGAGAGGAGGGGAGGAGGGGAGGATGGGGATGAGGAGGGGGCAGATGGGGGGTGGGGCGCCATCCTCCCCGCGCTTTCTTTTCAGAAGAAATCACACGGCATAAACACAAACTGTTGGCGCTCCGCACGGATCTCTTGGCTCTGCGCTGGACCACACTCCCTGGCGCGCGGAGCGCGCCAGGGGCGGCGCCGGAGGCGCCGCCAAGGGAGGCGCAGTGCGGATCCAAGAGAGCCGCGCAGAGCGCCAAAAGTTTATGCTTATGCTGTCTTTTCTTCTTCGAGCAATCTTCCCCGCGCTCTTTCTTTTGCTGGGGGGGGGTGGTCGGCGAGCAGGACGCGAAGGTCGTGCAGGTACTCCGGGAAGGCGAGCCCCCGGGGCTCGTCGTCCTCCCAGCTATCCCTGCGCAGGGTATGGGGCAGAAGCCACGGCACCCGCCTCCCTGCTCGGGAGACGGAGGAGGGGAACACTTAGGAGGAAGGGGGGAGGGATGAGGAGGGAGGAGAGAGGAAGGAGGAGAAGGGACGATGAGTGGGAGGAGGGAGGGAGATAGGGCCTAGGGGAAGGGAGAGGAGCGAAGGAGTGGAGGGAGGGGAAGGGACGAACAGGAAGGAAGAGAAGGAAGGAAAGTGCGAAGATGGAGGAGGAAGAAGGGGAGGACGAGGACGAGGAGGAGGAGGAGGAGGAGGAGGAGGAGGGAGGGAGAGGAGGAGGAGAGGAGGAGGAAGGAGGAAGAGAGGAGGAGGAGGAGGTGAGGAGGAGGAGGGGAGGAGGAGGGGGAGGAGGGAGTAGGGTCTGAGACACAGACACGCGATGTCTTCACATTCGGCAATGCGAATTTCCCGGGAGCCTCTCTCGCCGGGGCCCGCTCTACATCCCCGGGTCGCTCCTCGGAGGTCCCGCGGGGCCCGGCGAGGGCCCCCAGAGACCAACAAGAAAGAACACCTCTTTACGTTCGTTGCCAAGCCGTTGAGTTCTCCTCCTCCTCCTCCTCCTCCTCCTCCTTCTCTTCTCTCCTCCTCCTCCTCCTCCTCCTCCTCCTCCTCCTCCCTCCTCTCTCCTCCTCTCTCCTCCCTCCTCCTCCTCCTCCTCCTCCTCCTCCTCCTCCTCCTCCGGGGAGGGGCAGCGGCTGTGTTGCCCCCACGCATATAAGCCGCGGGCCTCCCCACCAGGCCGCCCCCGGGCAGGCCCTGGGAGCCGAGGCCGCGCCCCTCCCAGAAGTCCGCCACGGCCCGGGCGTGGTCCTGCGGGGTAGCAGGAGCCACACTGGGGCCACGGCCCCATCCTCCTCCTCCTCCTCCTCCTCCTCCTCCTCCTCCTTCTCCTCCTCCCTCTCCTCCTTCGCCTCCTCCTCCTCCTCGTTCTCCTCGTCCTCCTCGTCGTCGTCCTCCTCCTCCTCCTCCTCCTCCTCCTCCTCTGGGAAGCCAGACAATGATGCTTCATTGTTCGAGAGAGCGCCCGTGGCCAGGAACAGGGAAGGACAAGGCCACCACCACCGCCTGCTCGTGCTTTCATGCTTTATCATGCTTTATGCTGCTCGCGATCGCGCCCGTGCCCCGCCACGCCCCGCGCCCCCCCCTCCCGCCCCCTTCCCCCCCCCAGGAACAGCGAAGGGCAGAGCCACCACCACTGCCAGGGGCCACCAGGGGGAGGAGAGCCAGGGGGGGGGGGGTCCCCCCGGCGGTGTGGCCCGCCCCGCCGCCTGGGGAGGCACACCCCCCACAGTCTTACCAGTTCGTGGGAGGCCTCTTGTGGGCCTCGCGGACGGTGGCCCCCTCTGGTGGCGGCGGTGGCGTCGCTTCTCCTTCCCCCGACTCCCCCCGCCAAGCTCGCGTCACGACCCGCGCCCGCCCGCCGGCCTGGCCCCCCAGAGGTCCGACGTCGTGAGTTTTCCCATGCGGGCTCCCCGGGAAGCTCGACCCATTCCCCAGGACCGGCTTTTCATCCCGAGTCGTTTTTGTTAGGTCCCGGGGACCGGCGCCGGGGGCCGACAACTGCGAAGAACGTCCGTCCGGATTTTCCCCATGCTTTGGATCTCGGGGCACCTTTGCCCCCCCCCCCGTCACGCCCGCTGCCGCCAAGAGATCAAAACACAGTGCCCCCTTGAGGGGCAGCATCCCCAGATTTCCGACGGCCTGCTTTATCGGCGGCGCGCCGACCCCGGCCTGATCGGGCGCTGCC